TAACATGCCATGTCAAGCCTGAGGATCTGTAGTGCTATATTCACAGTACTGTCACTAATACACTTTTCTACCACTGTGTGTATTCATGTGCTTTTTAAGCTGATTCTGTTGCTTAAATAACTTTGTACATCTCTTACACATAAATGGAACATCCTGTGTGTGAATTGACAGAATATGGATCTGTCATCTTTTTTTTAAAGATTTATTTATTTATATTGCAAAGTCAGATATATATAGAGAGAGGAGGAGAGACAGAGAGAAATATCTTCCATCTGGTGATTCACTCCCTAAGTGAGCGCAATGGCCAGCACTGTGCCGATCCGAAGCCACAAGCCAGGAGCTCTTCCAGGTCTCCCACATTGGTTCAGGGTCCCAAGGCTTTGGGCCATCCTCGACTCCTTCCCAAGTCACACACAGGAAGCTGGGTGGAAAGCAGAGCAGCAGGGACACGAACCAGCACCCATATTGAATTCCCATGCATGTAAGACAGAGACTCCAGCCACTGGAGTCTAGGCCCCTAACTCAGTCTTCTTGTCTGATAAATAAAGTGAATGATGGTACTTATTGGGAATAGGCATTTAACTTGGTCATTAAGGTGCCCGTGTCTGCTCTTGCAGTACATGGATTGGACTCCTAGCTCCAGCTCCAGGTATGACTCCTAGCTCTGGCTCCTGCCTCGTTTACAGCCAGTGAAGACCCAGGGAGGCGGGGTTTGAAGTGTGTGGTTTAGGTGTGGCCCATGCACTTCTGTCATCGTGAAATCATTCTAGAACTTTCTTGCTGGTCCTAAGAGTAGGATGAAGACAAATGGACCAAGGTCACCCAAACTGACCTCAAACAGCTAAATGAGACTAATCTGACGCCACTTGTTTGGGACAATAGTTAATTAACAGAAAGTTCATTCAGAGTATTCGATGACTCAAGGAAATGTTCCAAATAGACGATTAAGTGGTGAAAAATCAAAAAATAAAATAGTTTGTTCAGTAAGATCATATTTTTTCTTTTAAATAAGTTGGAGAGTGCAACTTATTTAAAACTTATAAATAAGTTGGGAAAGACAAGTTCACCCCTGAAACTAAGAGACCCAACATTTAATCAACAGTTATCTGTAGTTTTTTGAGAGTTTTCCTAGATTCCAAATGAGTCAAATGGCTATTTTGATTTTTCAGCTCAGTGAGTAAAACATGAAGAAGATACGAGATGGATATGTTGTTAGGCAACAGGTCTATCCACTTGTGGACAAAGCACAACTCCAACAACGATAGTGAGCTCATCTTCTGAGAAAGAGATTAGTTCTAATTACAAGCTCTCTAAGAGACAGAGTGGTGGGAGGAGGAGGGAGACCAAATTACTTTCTCCTTTAGAAAGTGGTTGGGGAAAGTAAGGTTAGGGCAAATGGAGCAGGATTGTGTCAAGGAGACACAATAGGGCACCAGCAGAGGGCAGTGTTGAGAGCAACGCAAGCAGACTCTTCTAGAGGAAGAATGGCCACTACTTCTCCAGCAAAACTGGGGCAGTCCTTTTATGGGGTAGCTGATGGTTCAGATGATGCTGTCATTGGAGGTGTGTCACTCCAGATCATAATGAACCCTAAGGTAGCTCAGCTTGAGGTGCTCTGCACATGCTGCAGCCAATGCTCTCTGGTATCTTCAGGAACCTTCTAAGGAGAACCCCACAGATGTCGACCAGACAGCTATGATGGGACAGCAAGTTACTGTGTAACAGGGGGGTCCTTACTATGTTAGGCAGCTGGGGGTGGCCTGCGGCTTAAGCTGGGGGAGGAGGAGCTCAGAGCTGGCTGGGAGGTGGTAGACCCAGCAGTTTCCACATTCCTACTGCTCCATCCAATGCTGGCCCTTTTCCTTTCAGGCGTGGGGAAATCACTGCAACCACACCCCAACAGGGAGGAAGCCACGGGGACTGTCTCTCACTGTGTAGGCTGGAAAATGATGTGACAGCTTGTCACATTGGCACAACTCGCTAAGAATGAACAAGGTCCCCTCAACAATTTCTGCGAGGCTTGAGCACTGGTGTTAAACGCATTCGGGAAACATGCCAGGTTAGTGCTAAAATTAGAGGCTCGCAGGCATGGCAGCATGGCCTGATGGCTAAAGTCCTCGCCTTGAATGCACCGGGATCCCATATGGGCACTGGTTCTAATCCCGATTGCTCCACTTCCCATCCAGCTCCCTGCCTGTGGCCTGGGAAAGCAGTCGAGGACGCTCCAGAGCCTTGGGACCTGCGCCCGTGTGGGAGACCCGGAGGAGGTTCCTGGATCCTGGCTCCAGATCGGTAGAGCATCGGCCGTTGTGGTCACTTGGGGAGTGAATCATCGGATGGAAGATCTTCCTCTCTGTCTCTTCTCCTCTCTGTATATCTGACTTTGAAATAAAAACTAAATAAATCTTAAAAAAAAAAAAAAAAAAGAGGTTCGGGCCCGTGGCATGGCCTGATGGCTAGTCCTCGCCTTGAACACGCCTGGATCCCATATGGGCGCCGGTTCTAATTGCAGCAGCTCCACTTCCCATCCAACTCCCTGCTTGTGGCCTGGGAAAGCAGTCGAGCACGGCCCAAAGTCTTGGGACCCTGCACCCGCATGGGAGACCTGGAGGAAGTTTCTCGCTCCTGGCTTCGGACCGGCATAGCATCGGCCGTTGCGGTCACTTGGGGAGTGAATCATCGAATGGAAGATCTTCCTCTCTGTCTCTCCTCTCTATATATCTGACTTTCCAATAAATAAATAAATCTTCAAAAAAAAAAAAGAAAGTAATGCTTAAAAAAAAAAAAAGAGGTTCGCATTTAATAAGAGCAACACAGGAAAGCCCCTGGGGAACAGGCTCTGAATATCTGCTTGCCACATAGTCCTTCCCCCTGCTGTGCCCCCTTGGGGTGGCAAGCATTGGTAAAGGAGACTGAGTGACAGCACACCGAAGACACAGGGCAGACTAGTGTAACTTTGTACAGTAGCCTTTGTTACTGATCCCTAAAGTTCTTTTAGCTACAGGCTCTGAGGAAACAAAGCCCTAGGCAACCCGGGGAAGGTGAGATTTCAAAGCCTAAACATTATATTTCAGCTGAGTTAACACGTCCTCGTATCACTTGATGAAAGGAAATGCCTAAGCGGCTTCAGTCAACGAGCAGGCCCTGCTTGATCAAAGTCCAACCGGTCTAAAGAGACTGGCTGCCGCTCCAGGGCAAGCACACTTCCATTCTGAGTCTGGCCTGGTTCCTCTATAGATGGCTCACTGTGTGCCCCAAAGGCCATTACTAGATGGCTTAAGTCAAAGTCAAGAGGCAGGGAACAACGGAAGGTGAGTCTGGGAACAGACACTAAAAAAAAAAAGTCTGCCCAAGACTGGGATCCTGTGTTTCTTCCCAACACCAGGATAAGAAAATAATACTCCAAAAAGACATGGGGTGGGGTAGAAGAGGAACCCCAGAATCAGACGTCACTATAACACTCTTGTGCCTTAGGAACTTGCAGTGGCAAGAAGAAAAGAAGCGGTGTAGGCTCTTCTCCCTAATAAGCCTGGAGTGTATCTGAGGGGGTACAGAAACACCTAGAGGACAATCACACTCCATCACCTGCGTGACTCTAAACAAGTCACTACATTTCTGAGTCTCCAGTCCCCGTTCTACAAAACCAAGCTAATTACTATCTACTTCATAGGCAGGGTGCAAAATCAAATGATACTGCAGATACAACACATACAACATGACAGCACAATTAAATGTTAATGATACTGCTGCCCCAACATCCAACTTAACAACTATGGACAAGTTTCTGATGGTAAGAAACATAAACAGAAGGATTCTAGACTCTTATCAGCTATGGCAAAAAGTAAAAAAGAAGAAAGACAGCCAAAGCAGCAAGCTTCTACAAGTGCCTCATGGGACACATGAGCTCCCTGCTGATTTATAACCCCTAAGATCATCAGAATGTTACGCATCATTCAACACAGTCAGGGACAACTTCCTCTGGAAGGGCTTACCTGAGGAAGAACTGTTTCAACAGAACAGGACAGGAAAGGAATCGGGGAGAGCGGCTAACACAAGTTAGCCGGAAAGGGAAGAGCCACGTTCCTGAAGGACCAAAAAGAGGAACGGAAGCGGCACTGCTACCTCCCTAAGACCGACAGGGAGTGTCGCCCTCACACGGGTTGGAGGTTCACCTGACGGGCAGGTACTCGGAGGAGGTGAAGGTGCTGCTCGGGACACCCACATCCCACAGCTCAGTTCCTGGGGTTACTTCCCGCTCTGCTTCCAATGCCAGCTCCCTGCTAAACTAGAAGGCAGCAGGCAACGCCTCCAGCACTTTGGCCCCTGACAGTCAAATGGGAGACTCACGTGCCATCCAGCTCCCGAATACAGCCTGCCCAAGCCCCTGTTGCTGTGGGCATCTAGGGAGCAAACCAGGGGATGCAAGATCTTTACATGTCAAGGTGTATGTAGGTCTGTCTGTCTCTGTCTGCCTTTTTCTGTCTCTGATTCTTTCTCTCTGCCTTTCAAATAAAACGAATGAACATCAAAAATGTTCAGGACTATTTATTTAAAGGCCAAGCTACAGAGAAAAGGGGAGATGGAGACGGAGAAAGCTTCCACCTTCACCCACCAAGTGGCCGCCATAGCCAGGGCGGAGCCAGACCAAAGCCTGGACGCAGAGGCCCGGCTGTCTTTCCCAGGACACTAGCAGGGAGCTGGTCTGGAGGTGGAGCAGCCTGGATTTGAACTAGCGCACATCACAGGCAGCAGCTTTATCCACTTACACACAACACTGGCCCAGAAAATTATATAGTTTTTTTAATTAAAGGAGATTCATACAAGGCAAAAACATCAATGCAGGCACAATGAGAATGAGCCAATCTAAAGTTCGACAGACAACCTAAAGCATAACTAAGGTAAATCCTGGTGGGTATGCGGTGGGTAGCTTTTGAAGCCATCCTAGTGGGTATGCGGTGGGTAGCTTCTGAAGCCATGGTCCTCAGAGATGAGCAAGGGTGGGCGTGTGAGGAGGAAAAGAGAATGAACTTGACACTGAGTGGCCACAGGACCTTGAAGAGAAGTGTGGAAAGAAAGGGACACAGAATGTGGTAACCAAAAGGGTAGGAACAGGAACCTTCTCCAAACATTTGCTGGCCGTCTTGCTGAAGGGCCCCTGCACTTGCGGGTCTTCGACAAGACACTGCCACACACTACCTACCGGTACCAACTGAGCACAGGACCTGGGCAGTCCAGTTTAGCTGAATAAGCACACGGCTAAAAGCAGTGATGTCACAGGAAGGCGAGAACAGGACAGGAGCGAAGGCTTTGGATGAGTGGCATCCAACTCTGATGTGCTCAGCACTCTGTCTACTGGGAACAGAAGGCTCTGCCCGTACCTCCGAATACTTTCCTCTGTAGCTGCTCAAGCTTCGTTCCATCCTTCGTAAGCGCTGAATCAACTGTTCTTTGTTGAGACTGTCCGAACCGCCAAGGGCGTCCTCGGCCTCACTCTCCATGTCAGAGGGCGGGTCAAAGGCAGCAGGGGAGCTGTCCAGCTCAAGCCGATTCAAGGACTCCCTGGACGAGGTTCGCACCAAAGACTCTTTGGACGAAGACCGGAACAGAGATTCCTTGATCGGACTTCGAAACAGAGACTCCATGGAAGGCACCCGGAGCTGGAGCTTCTGTGCGAAAGACTGCGTGTCACCTGACTGCAACCAAAACCAAAAGGAGCATGAGGGTTCAAGTGCATACACGTCATCTCCACCACCCCCAGCCACACTAGGAGATCCACGCTACATACACGGCATTGTATGTAACACACTGCTTTCTGAAACAGTGCGGGAGTAGGCATCAGAGGCCGGGGGTGCGACCCTGCACCAGCTTGAGAGATCTGGAAGAAGCTCCTGGCTCCTAGCTTAGGATCGGCTAAGCTCCAGCCACTATGGCCACTTGGGGAGTGAAGCAGTGGACAGAAGATCTTCCTGTCTGTCTCTCCTCCTTTCTGTAAATCTGACTTTCCAATAAAATTTTTTTTAAATAATCTTTTTAAGAAAACAGAATTGAGACTGGGCAAGCAGCAGAGGAGGGCGTGAGTCCCGGGCCTCCTGCACCCACTTGGCAGACCCGGATGTAATCTGTCTCACCCTGAGAAGTTTCCCTCCTAAAGTTAGATTTAGAACGTAATGTAAGGTTGCTTGTGGCCATTTGCATACCAAGTTTTATCCGGCTATGCGGGTTTGGTACAGAAACGTTTTCTCATTTTTCAGAAGATCTAAATCCCGCTTCAGTCAGTACCCAATCTAACATTAAAAGCCATTTTTAGTGGGTGAATTGCTCTAAAGTTTAACCTGCCAAAGCATGGACTTCTCAGATACTTTAATGAAAATTCAATGGACACAAAACTGATGCAACAGACACAAAACACGATGCAGTTATTTTCGATTGTAAACTCCATCTATTTAATGTGCTTTAATTACAAATGTGTGTAACAACAAATTTCCCCCTCAAAATGTGAGTCAGACTTCAAAATATCCTCCCTCGGGAGAAAACAGGTTAGCCCAAGAGAAGGTGGCCCCTAGTGATTTAGTAGGTGTTATTTCATCGCTGTTAAAAAGCTACGAGGAAGCACAAGAGCCATCAGAGTCCAGCAATTCACCCTCTGATTTCTTAGAAAAGTGTTATTAGCAAACACACACTGCAGGTGCTTCACGAGAAGGTGAGTGACAGGCGGCAGGTGTTGCATCCCGCCAAAGGGGATGCGGAAAGCGGCGGGAGGACTCACCACACAGCCACTCTGGGGTTTAGGCTCTTTGGAGGAATCCAAAGCAAAGATAGTGTATTCAGAGAGAAAAGCAGGCTCTGCTATCATCCCGGCTAGTAGCTGTCTCATTCAGGGCAATCCAAAACAAAACACAAGACGAAAAACAAATCATCATGGCACGTTGCAAAGTGTTCTCTTCGCACAGCACGCCTAACACCAGAAGGGCCCTCACTCGCCCACCCCCTCCCTGCCCCCAGCAGCAACAGCAAGCTGCGGGGGGGAGGTGGGGGGAATAAGTCAGAAATGCAGTTGAGTTAAACACGCAACATGAATAAATTCTCGAGCTATTCCACACGGTGTCGTTTCTATGGCTAACGGGGCATAACAGACATCTTACACTTTCAAGGAAGCAAGATCTTCTACGTGTTCTTACCACGATAATATAATGGTAACAATGATGCCAACAGAGTGGGGGGAACTCGGGGAGGTGATGGACAGTCCATAGCTTTGATGGTGGTGATGGTTTGAGCCTGCAGAAAGCCCCTGGTCCTGGCTTTGGACTGGCCCATGCCCAGTTTTGGCAGCCACTTGGGGAGTGAACCAGCAGGTGGAATCTCTCTTTATTGCTATCTCTCCCTCTGTCTCTCTGTAACTGTTTTTCAAATTAATAAACTTAAAAAAGAAAAGAACGGAGAGAGATTATATATCATGATTAAGTAGGACTTACTACCGGAATGAAAGATTAACATCTGAAAATCCTTTAATACGACACACCATATTTAACAGAATAAGAATTCAAACACCATACACATATCAACAGACACAGAGGACATAACAGACAAAATTCAAAGTTGCCTCATCATAAAAAACATTCGGCAAAGAAAGAACAGAAGGGAATAGCAATATGATTAAAAAGTTACATGGGGGCCCGGCGCAGTGGCGCAAGTGGTTAAGGTCCTCGCCTTGCACGCCCGGGATCCCATATGGACGCCGGTTCTAATCCCGGCAGCCCCGCTTCCCTTCCAGCTCCCTGCCTGTGGCCTGGGAAAGCAGTCGAGGACGGCCCAAAGCTTTGGGACCCTGCACCCGCATGGGAGACCGGGAAGAGGCTCCTGGCTTTGGATCGGCATAGTATCGGCCATTGCGGCCACTTGGGGAGTGAATCATCGGACGGAAGATCTTCCTCTCTGTCTCTCCTCTCTGTATATCCGCCTTTCCAATAAAAAAATAATAAAAATAAATCTTTAAAAAAATAAAAAGTTACATGGAATTGCATGAAAAAGGAGAAAGAATAACCAAGACATTCAACAAGAGCAGAGTAGAAAGCCATGACTACAAGATCTACATGACCTACAAGAATTAATGGAAGATGAAAATGATATTAAGACTCATCGTGCGGGGGGCCAGCAATGGTGGCTTATCAGCCTAATCCTCCACCTGCAATGCCAGCGTTGCTCATGGACACCAGTTCAGGTCCCAGCTGCTCCCTGCTCGTGGCCTGGGAAAGCAGTGGAGGATGGTCCAAGGTCTTGGGATCCGGAACCCACAGGTGAGATCCAGAGAACATCCTGGCTTCAGATCAGCTCAGCTTCAACTATTGTGGCCATCTGGGGAGTGAACCAGTGGAATAAAGACTGGTCTGTCTCTCTCCTCTCTACAAATCTGCCTTTCAAATAAAAATAAATAAGTATCAAAAAGAAAAGACTTACAATACCAAATCAAAGTGAACAACACAGCAACAAAGGAGCAGATGGAGAGCTCAGAAACAAAGCTACTTAAAGATGAACTACTGATTTCTGTACAAGCACAAAAAAGTAGTGTGCAGAAAGATCTGACATCGCACAGACACACGACAGGACATGAACCCTGACCCCTCACACCATCCCGAGAGATCATTTCTGGGTGGGGTATACATACATCCATCTAAGTGCGAAAAGCAAAACAATACAGGAAAACCTTCTCAGTGTCAGAAAACGATTCTTTTAAAGACCTTCATCCATGTATTGGAAAGGCAGAGACACAGAGCCCCTATGTACCGCTTCACTCCTCAAGTGCCTGCGGTGGCCTCAGCTGGGGTTGAGGCTGAGAGCTGTGAACTCAAGCCAGATTTCTCATGAGCACGGGTGGAATCCAATCACTGGACCCACCACCTCTGCTCCCAGGATGGACATGAGCAGAAGCTACCATCAGAAGCAAGCCAGGCACTGCAGCCGGGCATTCAGACACAGGACACAGGCCTCTACATGCCAGGCAAAAACCTACCGCGGGTAACTCCCCAACCCCCACCACAACAGCAAAAAACACTGGCCATAAAATAAAATATTGATATACTGGAAAAAATCTTAAAACTAAGAATTTTTGGCTCATCAAGGAATACCATTAAGATAATGAAAGACAAACCAGAATGAAAGAATACATTTGCAAGATACAGACCCAAGAAAAACTTACAGCCATGTTATATAAAAAGAACTCATACAAATTAATGAGAAAAAGTTAACCCAAAAGAAGAAAAGGGCAAGGCACTTAGCATAGCCTTTTGTAAAAGGATGAATTGGTGATCAATAAACAAGTGAACAATGCCCAATCTTACTAATCTTCAGAGAAATACAAGTTAAAGCACAAAGGCCACAGCACATTACCAGAACATTGAGATTTAAAAAAAAAAACAAACTATAAATGCCAGGGCGCAGGAGCAACTTGCATCAAGTCCTTGTGGGGAGGAAAATCTCTAGAAACACCCTGGGGAACCATGGCTGCAGCTCCTTCCAAGCGGGCAGAGCAGCTCCTTCCTCTGAGCCAGCACACAACCAACAGGAACCAGAAGAAACGCAGAGCAGCCAAGCACTGGGGACAAGCCAACGTGTCCATCGAGGAAGGCAAGAGGCAAATACTACCATTCCAGGATGGTGGTGCTCCCGCTGGGAGAGGGAAGGGAGCACTGAATTTCCAATGGTGCCCCTTTTCCTGACCTGGATGGTTGGAACACAGGAATCCGCTTCATGACAAGTCATCAACCTATGCACTTACGTGGTACCCTCTCTAGTATACCTGGGTTATACATCACAGGGAAGAAATGAGGTTTAAAAAAAAAAAAAGAATTTCGGTGCCAGCTCCTAGCTACACGGAAGCAGTGACGGGACTCCTCAGTTTTTCACTCACCAGTCTGAAAATGCAGGACTTTCCCCCATAAGATGATACATTAAACAAATTGTTATTAAATTATTCTGAAAGTTTTAAATACTAAATGCGGGATATATTACTCTTTCAAAGAACTTAGAACTAATCACATAATTAATAGAAACAGTATGTAGGAATTATATAACTGACCTGTCAAAAGCACGAATCACATAATTAACAAAAACAGTATGTAGGAATTACATAATTGACCTATCAAAATCACTGCCCATTTGATCAGCAGCAGCGTTACACTACATTCCAGAACAATTCCACTTCTTCTGAGGGGGATTTTTAAGCAGAAATTTCGAGCTTACCTCTCTGTTGGGTGTGCCTTCATCAAGCTGCTCTGTAAATGAGGAGGTCCTGGTCCTGGTTCTTGTTGGTGTTGAAGAACCAGAGGGAGCCTAGAGTGAAGAGTTATTGCACAGATTAGAAGGACTGACATTAACAAGTGCACTATGGACAGGGTACTTCCTAGTCCGGGTCAAGCTCTGTGACTCAATGAAATGCAAAGAGCAGACACAGGACAAAGAGTAAAGGAGAACGGTTCTATGGACCAGCTGCAAGACCTGGATACTTACTCTGCCCTTGGCCTGACTCTGCCATCAACCAGAACTGTGATGCTAGCTAATTTTTTGAAAGCCATGTCTCTTCACTTATGAAATAATTGTGATGGTAACAAAATAAGGATAATTTTAGGGAAACTGAGGCCAAGGGCTCTAGGCTTCTTTGTACTATCCCTGGATCTGCCCAAGCTGCACACACACTGCTCTGGGGTAAGAGCTCACCACACACATGCAAACACACGATGACACACTTCTGCCTTCCAAATAAATAATTTTTTTTTTAATTCACAAGAAATTCAATAAACCTTCTTCTACCTACAGCCACAGTCTTGCAATCAGGCAGGTCCAAGGTTGTTAAGTGTCTCCAGGTTGTCACTCTGAGTGGGAGGAGCTTATCAGGACAGATTTCACAGCTTCATGTCAACTCTAGGAACAGGGTTACTGAGGGGATAGAAGAGTAGAAGGTAATTAGAAAGGCAATACCAGAATAAAGGAGCTATCTCTTGACCGACCACCTCTCTGTCACTCCAACATTAAGAAATCTTTGAATCATTAATTCAGCTATCCAAAGATCTGGAAGTCAGGAAAGGGCTACCCCAGAGAGCGACCCCCCAATCCTGCGAGAAACATATTCCACTGTAAATTTTCGAAGCTGGCATGACATCCTTAAGCTTGGCTTCACACAAATCTAATCGGCCACTGAGCACACCCAGGAGCCACCAGAAACAGACAAAAGCAAACGATGGAGCTCACGCAGGGGAACGAGAGCTTCTAGAACACCCTGCCCTCAGAAAAGGAGCATTGCGTGGAACAGGCCGACCTGCTGGCTTCTCGCTCCTCCTCTGCAACTCCAAGTAAAGGGCACGCTAAGGAAAAGGCCCTGCACGAAGAGCCGAGAGTACTGGAGCATGTGGCCCGGGGCGCAGCCACTGCGGAGTGTCTGTGTCTGATCCCCGGTTCAGTGCTTGCTACTGGAGACCCTGGAACACAGCAGCAATGGCTCGAATAACCGGGATCCTACCACGCATGTGTGAAACCTGGATTGAGCTCCTGGCTCCCAGATGCTGACCCTCCGCCCCGGCCACTGTGGCCATTTGGGAGAAGAACCAGCACACAGCAGTGCTCTTTCCAGCTGCCTCCCAAACAATTAAAAAAGGAAAAAAGAAAGGACTTAGGTTCTTCAAACCACATTTGAGCTCACTAATCCTCCCAACCATTAGAAATCTGTGAAGTCAGACTCCTAAGCTATTTGTCAAGAAATGTGATGGCCTGTATCTAGGCTCACAATTAATGCTTCCCCACCACTTAAATAAGGACTCATCACAAGTCTCAAGTCAACGTAGAAAAAAACAGCATGGTCACTGTTTCAGGAAAACACAGCAAAAGAAAAGCTGCTGCAGATGGCAGAGGATGTAGGGACTGAAGAGAGAGGAGTTAAAGAATAGTTTATTGAGGGGGATCACGAAGAGAAGGGCAGTCTGGGGCAGCTATAGGGCAAATGCAGCCCCTGCCAGGATAACCAGATAGACCTGGACTTTCTCGAGAAATACTGACTGACACTCCAGACTGACTTAGTGCCCGTTGACCCCACAGAGCTTGCGGTAAGCTAAGGGGCTGCCCGGAGCCTGCATCCATCTCCGTGTACCCAAGTTCGAGTCCCGGGAGCATGCTGAGATGCTGCAGATGACGGCTCCCCTCCACGTGGGAGACCGAGATTCTAGGTTCAGCTTCAGCTTGGCCCATCCCTGGCTATTGTGGGCATCTGGGGAATGAAAACAGCTGATGGAAGCTTCTGTCTGCTTTGCAAATGAAAAACATAACCATCTTGTGCGTCAACTCAGAGCTTGTAGTCGGCAATCTGAGTTTTTTATCTTCTTGTCCAAAAATTGGGAATGATGGCACCTGACCTGCTCACCTGTTTGGTTGGTTGTGTTTGAAAGCAGCTGTAACGGCAGACCACATGCTTATTTAACAGGGTTTGCAAGAAAGGTAGGTCATTGTCATGGGTTTGAGAGACAAGTATTTCCAATGGGAAGTTGGTGTATGCGACGGTCTTGTGGCTGCATACAGCAAATCATTCCAAAAGAGCAAGGATGGGGCCCAGCACAGTAGCCAAGTGGCTAAATCCTCCCCCTGGCAAGCACCAGATCTCATATGGGCACCAGTTCGTGTTCCAGCTTCTCTACATCCCATCAAGCTCCCTGCTTGTGGCCCAGGAGTTCAGCGGAGAATAGCCCCAAAGCAAGGAAAAGGTATCCAAGGTTTATTATTCCCAAGACCACATTAGTTTTCTAATGTTGCATAATAAGTTGTCAAACCTTCAGGCCTCATAACCGGATACGATGGCACAGCTGTACGGGTCAGATGCTCCGTCAGTTGTGATGCTGGAACATCTGGTATGTCAAACACCTGCTTCCAATGCATGGTCCTCTGATTCCTTCATCTACCTCTGTAGTATTTTTTTTAATTAGATATAAACTACTTTTCTTTAAGATTTAAAAAATACAGAGTTGACAGAGAGAAGGAGAGACAAAGAGGTCTTTCATCTGCTGTTGACTAACTCTGCAAACAGCTACAACCGCCTGAGAGCTGGGCCGCTCAGAAACCAGCTGCTTCTTCCAGGTCTCCCACATGTGTGTAAGGGCCCAAGCACTTGGGCCATCTGCTGCTGCTTTCCCAGGCCACTACCAAAGAGCTGGATAGGAAGTGGAACAACCAAGACTCGAGCTGGCACCCATATGGGATGTATGTGCCTGGCTTCTGTCTTCATCCTGATCTCTCTCTCTCTTAATCTCTCTCTCTGTGTCTCTAACTTTGAGAAAAAGAAAACACATCTAGTATTCTCAGAGAGGTAAAAGATTTTACATGTAGAACAAGAACCATGCTATGACAAAAGCAAAAGACAGCAGGAACAGCCCTGAGAAATTGTAAAGTAAATCAATTAAATGTAAAAATCCAAAGGAAGACCAAAGCAAAAAAAACAGCTCTGAAATGGGACAAAAATATAGAAGATAAAGGGTAAAAAGAGAGAGAGAGAATCTATCCATCGTGTACAAATGCCAAGCCACTGGAGTTCCAGTGGGAAAGACAGCAGAGAAGAGGGAGGGAAATAACGATAGACTGTCTACATGTTTCCTTGAACTGAAGCACAGACATCTCCCTCCCGACACGGCCACCAAGTTCCCAGCACAGTGCACAAGGACAGAGACACCAGGGCCAGCACTGTGGCCCCACCTACAAGCACCGGCATCCCATATGACCTTGGCTCCACTCTGACCATAGGAGTTAGTGTCCCAGCCGCTCCACTTCCTGTCCAGCTCCCTGCTGACGGCCTGGGAGAGCAGGGGAGGATGGCCCAAAGCCCTGGGACCCTGACCCCCACCTGGAGGTGGGGAGGTTTCTGGATCCAGATCAGATCAACTCCAGCTGTTACAGCCACTTGGGGAGTGAACCAACAGATGAAAGATTTTTCTGTGTCTCTCCCTCTCTCTGTTAATCTACCCTTCAAATAAAAATAAATTAAAAAGAAAAAGAAAGAAAGAAATCCACATCAAAGCATAAGTGTCATGAAATTTCAAAAAAGGCATAGGGGAAATGCCCTAAAGACTCAGAAAAAAGAACAGCTTTATACGTTCCAACAGCAAGACTGCCAATGCGGAACAATGGAGCAAAGTTTAAAAGTCATCTTCCTTAGCAGGAGACAAATACTCACTGTCTAAAATGCATACATCAACAAACAGCAAAGCTATAAAAGTTTATTATTTCAACTTACAGAATTAAATACCACGGGAATAAGTAATGTTGAGAATACAGACAACAGGACCAGAGGATTGGGGCACACGACAGTTTTCTGCACAACTTTTTAACAATCCTTTCAGTAGTACTTGGCCCTTAAAACTATATCAAGATACACTCTGATAGAAATAAAATTGTTTTAAATTTTAGTTAAAAATTATAATCACTTAACATGACCTACACAAGATATCCAGAAACATTAAAATTAGATTATAAGATAATCTTTCTCACCCTTTCTCTTCCAACTGCTGATAATGAACGAAAAGTAGAATGAAAGTCTAACCACTTCAGACATTATTAATAGCATATTTCATATGAATCATACATATACAGTACATGCTAATAAAATTAACCAAATGTTTCTATCAAGACAGAAAAAGAAATGTTTCTATCAAGACAGAAAAATTTATTCATCTAAGAGGTTTCAGAAAAACCCAGTGTATGAGAATGAACAAGACAAAAGGTAGGAAGAAGCAAGAAACAGATCAACTCAGGATTACACAAAACACAACTCACTGGGGAGACTAAGGGACAGAAACGAGTCGCAGATAACTACCAGACACGTGGGTCTCCACACCACGTGACACGAGATACAGAACGTGAGAAACTCAGGTGACTCGAGCTTACGTGGAACGCACCTGCACACTCTCAAGAGACACTCACATTCCTCAGAGACACTGCAAGTGGCAGGACAGGCTATGTTAAGGACCTTGTTTACCACCCAAGGTTGGAGATGACCTCCAGGGTGACATAGGCGGCAAGGTGGTTCTGGTTATGGCAAGCTGAATCCCCACCCAAAGAATGCGTAACTGATGAGAATCCCTAACTTACGAGTCAAATACTTCAGAAGATGAACTTGTTATACTTGTAGAGAATGATAGTAAAGTTTCCAGTTGAGGACGGCCAAAGCCTTGGGGCCCTACACCCATGTGGGAGACTCAGCAGAAACTCCTGCCTTCTGATGGGTTCGACACCAGCCATTGCGGTCACTTGGGGAGTAAACCAGCAGATGAAAGATCTTTTTCTCTGTCTCTCCTTCTCTCTATAAATCTTCCTTTCCAAGAAAAATAAATAAATCTTAAAAAAAAAAGGCAGAAAATGCATGGTGAGCACTGTGGTGCAGTGGGTTGCCCACTTCCCCTATCAGAGTGCCAATTCACCTTGGCTCCACTCTGACCCACCTTCCTACCAGTGCAACCTGGAGGCAACAGACGATGATCCACTCACATGGAAGACCCACATGAAGTTCCTGGATCCCAGCTCTGGATTGACCCAGCCCTGGCTCTTACAGGCACTTAGGTGGTAAACAAGACGTTAAAGATCAGTGTCTTTCTTTCTTTCAAGCAGATGAGAACAAACATTTCAAAAATACATAGGTTAAAAAAGTTGAAAAAGCGATAAGTTAACTAAGGACCTAGAAGACATTAAAGAGCAAAAAGATCATTAAATTTTCTAAAGAATCGAAGGCAAAGAGTTTTAAACTGGTAGAGAAATTGAGGCAAAGCCAGCCATAACTGAACATACACAGAATCAGTTAGGCCAACTTTTCCCACAGGGAAAACAAAGTCCCAAGTGGACAGCACTATACCGAAACACACTGCTCTCAGGCAATGAATTCAGGGGCTGGGTAACAAACAGGTACCAGGGGTCAGTTTTCTTCAATCCTGGAAAAAAAAAGCACCTGCCACATAGGATGCACAACCTACCTAGAGCGCCAACAGTGGCAGCTTGTATCACTAAGCAGCAGGGAGACCCTGTATGCATACAGTCACAGGTCACATGACAATGTGTAAGTCAGGGCAGACCAACCACAAGATTCCCAGGAGATTACATGATCCAGTGACATCAAAGCCAGTGGAACGGTATTCACACAGCAAAACAGTCTACTGACATCTCTCGGTATAGCGACTTAGTGAACAGTGGTATAGTGATACTAACTTAGGAAAAGAAGTTCTGGTGTTCCATCGCACAGCAGGGTCACTATTCATGTTGATAACAAGATGTATATTTCTTTTCAGAAGACAGAAGATGGGTACACATTTGGCACAGCAATCAAGCCACTGCGTGGAATGCTCACCTCCCATATCATAGTACTTGGGTTTGAATCCCAGCTCTGCTTCCGATCCTAACTTCCTGCTTTAATGGGAACCCTCCAAGGCAGTAAGTGCTGGATCCAAGTCTTTGGATCTCTGCCACTCACGTGGGGGATCTGGATGGATTTCCAGGTCCAGGTGCTGTGAGCAATTACTGAATCAGCAGATAGAAAGCCTCTGCCTGCCTGCCTTTCTAATAAATGCATAAATCCTAAAATGAATGCACCATAAAGAAGCCATATTTGAGTTAGATGTGTTTACTGTGATTTTAAACACTACACAATATACATGTTATCAAATCTCTCTGGAATACCATAAATGTAATGGCTTCTAAGGAAAAGTTGAATTAGTTTAGACACAGGGGCAGGTGGTTAGCCCAGCGGGTAGGCTATTGCCTGGGACACCCACCGCCTGTCCCAAGGGTCCCCAGTCAAGCCCTGGCTCCAGTTTTGCTCTAGCTTCCTGCTAATGTGCATCTTTGGACAACGGTGGCTCAAGCACTTGGTCCTCCGCGGTGCACGTGGAACACCCAGACTGCGTTGCAGGCTCCTGCCTGGGCCTGGCCCAGAGCCCTGGCAGCTGCAGAAACCCGATGAACCCACAGACGGAAGACAGCGCTCACCTACTCTCTGCCTTTCAAATGAAATGTGAAAATAAATTTTTCTTAGAGGATAAAGATGGGGAAAAAAATGTAAGCTTTAGTTCTAAAAATAAGCTTCATTGAGCTCAAGAAACTTTTGGCAGCATGATACCAGCAGGGGCTTCCAGAGGAACTGGGGGTCCTGCAAATTTAACCATGTCAATGGAGATTCTTTTTTCTACACAATCAAATGGAGGAAAATGGTGTCCTTTGGAGAACAAGGAATGAAAAGCAGTCAAAAGTAGCTGAATCGGGGCTTTATAGCACATGCCTAATTATTTCCCACCAAAATTCTCTCCAAATTGCCTTTATTTCTTAAGAGAAATGTGTAGCTCTCTCCAAGGAAGCCCTCCCAGACACTCTTCTGCTAAAGCTTTGGCTAATTTTCTCAAAACAGTCTCCCAATACACCACTTAATATGACAGACCTCTGTCCTCTAACTCTGCCTTTTCAAATAAATATTCATGATTTGTACTCAAAATGTCCGACCTTGAGTCATCCAGAAAATAGTGGACTAATCAAAGACCCTTTGCTTAGGAACACAGGATATGCAGGGCATTTTGTAAAAGGCATGCATCTTTATTTTGTTTTGAACTCTGACAATAATCCAGAACTCCTCATTCCTGGAAGAGTCCAAATACTAATGATCTGGAACCCGAAGAGAATCAAATTTCTTTCAGTAGTTGATCTATTACATTTCATTTTCAAGTTCAGGATAAATATATATATATCACCTAAAAGAAATGCTGTAATCTTATACACACAAGTGATTTCTTTGACCCACAGGCACTGCCTCAGCAAAAGCTTTAAGTTAACATCTTAGCTTGCAACAGGCTTTACTATCACTACTGCTAAAACACAACCCCTTTAGGAGTTTGCCATGGTGGTACATAAGCCTAGCCTTGTGCTTCCCAGTACCAGCATCCCATCTGGGCGCAGGTTCACATCCCGGATGCTCCACTTCTGATCTAGCGCCCAGCTTACGGCCTGGGAAAGCAACAGAGGATGGCACAAGTCCTTGGGTTCCAGCACCTACAAGGGAGATTCCTGAGTCCTAGTTTTGGATCAGCTCAGCTCTGGTCTTTGCAGCCATCTGGGGAGTGAACAAGAGACAGAATCTCTCTCTCTCTCTGTCTCTCCTTCTGCCTCTGTAACTTTGACTTTTCAAGTAACATAAATAAATCTTCGGAAAAGAAAAATCTCCTTGTTAATTCATAAAAGCGACTCAATTTCATAAAGAAAACCTAAGTGCTGAAACTGAGGAAGACCATAGCCAACACCCACCAGTGCTTCAGTGACAACCTTCTGAAGCTATTTTCACAATGGGTCTATGCAAATATACTAATACACATATTTTTTTCCTACAAAATAGGATGACAGTCCATAAGTTATGTTTAATCTATCTGTCTTTACACACATTATATTCCTGTGTGACACTTTTTGGGGGGACTCCAACACTAAGCGCGCAAAATTAGGCAAGTTAACAAGTCTCCTGGGCCTCACTCCTTTATCTGTAGAGGAATAAAGTGGTGTCTACCTCGTAGGTCAAGGTGAAATCGAATAGTCTGTGTAAGACACCAAGAAAAATAATGTTAGGCATACAGTCAGGAGCCAATAAACGTTGGCCTCTTTTTGCAGCTGCATAATTACCAAGTCCCTGTTAGAACTTACTTAACCAGTTCTCCGGCGCGGAACATTTATAGTAGCTAGCTTTTCATCAATTACAACACTGAAAAGGGGAGTGGGGGGAAATCCATGTAGTTAAATTCACAATACATCATCCTTTTTCTCAGAACAATTTCTAGAAAGGGAAGGCTGAACCAACAACTGCAGGATGTATGCATGTCTAATCGTAAAGGATTCAACTTCACTGCTCTGCCCATTCCCTCGCGGTCTTCATCTCTACCTGACATCTAAGGTGCCTTGGTTCCTTAAAGAACCTCCACTGTTTACACTTTCGTCATCATTGACCCCCAGAATAAACAAGCCACCAGGACCCCGTCTTTGTCGAGCACAGCTCTACTCTATATGAGCTGAAAATCTGCAGACAGATTCAGTTTATATTTTCAGAATACGCACAGTGTGGTAGCTACTTCAAAAGATAAAAGCATTCAAAGACTGCAGCAAGTTTTTTTTTTTTTAAAGAAAGAAAGAAGAATCTCCTTTCCTGGAGCTGTAGGCAAGAACCAGAAAACCCCAAACTCAAGAGAGATTCGCTCCATCAGGTGGGATCCGAAAAAGATCAGTAAGAAATCTAGCCGAAACCGTCAATCTCACTCTTTGCAATCCCACGCTGCTTGCAACATGCTTAGGGCTTAGGGGACTGTCTCTACCGAGAACACACCCCCCTCTGCTGGAAACACATCTGAGACTCACTGTGCACCAGGCAGGGGCAAAGCCTGAGGACAGGCATCAGGCCGGCCGCTCTCACAACGTTCGGCTCAAGTTGTGCCAAGGGACACCGACTCGTGACAGCCCCGGGCACTCTGCACACCGGGCATGCTGCCACCACTCCTGCCAGCCAGCAGCCTGGCCCTCATCCCAGGCACCCCAGTTTGGAAGCGGGAGGTGGGGGGTTAGGGGGACGGTGATTTCACAGTCCTGTGGGACCCCGGCCAGTGGACACTCCAGCTCAAGTTGAGGAGATGCCTGTCATGCAGGTCAGAAACTACCCCCGACTGCCCTCCCTCCAGGGTTGGGGGTCAGGAATCACGCCAGGGTAGGAAGGAGGCCCTGGCACCCATCCTCGGGTCACGATCAAAGGTCAGATGGCACGAGGGCTCCTGCCACTCCTTCCAGGACCCTCCTTCTGGGTTTGGGGAGAAGCCGGGTCAGGGGTCACAGAAGATCCCAGCTCGGTCCACGCTCTGGAAGGGAGGCCGGCGGCCGGAGATCGGAGGTCGCGGGAGACCACCCAGCATTCCTCCTTCCCTCCCCGGCTCCCCTGCGGGGCCTGCTCTGGGGGTTATCCGGACACCGGGGACGCCGACAATCCAGGGCCACCGAACCTGAGTGGGAGCCAGCGCCTGCTGCAGCTGCTGCTGCTCCTCGCTGATCTTCTGCTTCAGTTTCTTGAACATGGCGCAGCGCGGGTGGGGGGGTCCTCAGCGTGTCCGAGACCCCAAGTGGGGCGAGAGCCCGTGCAAGTCCCGGGCCGGCCGCGGCGCCCTCGGCTTCTCCCCTACACCAGGGACGGCGGGGGCCGGACCTCGCCGCCGCCGCCTCCTCCTCCCCGGGCTCGCGGGCGGATCGGCGCACTCGCCCTGCGGGTGTCGGCGTCGCCGCCGCCGCGTCTCCTTCTTCCGGGTGCCCGCGGCTGCCCTCGGCCCCCCATGCAGCCCCGGCGGCGGCGACAACGGCAGCAGGTGAACGGTGCGCCCAGGGCGCCTGCGCGGTCTACGTGGAGCTCGGCCGGGCGGCCTACGGAAGGCCGGAGAGGACACGGCCCGTGTGGACGGCGGCACATGCGTGCTGGGCCTTCTCGGAGACAGGTCCGAGCGCCGCACGGATGCTCACCTGCCTGCAGCGTGGGCGCTGGCGAGGGGTCGGCTGGGGAGGGGCGGCGAGCGCAGCCAGCCTGGCAGGCCCACCGTGGGGGGAGCGCGTGGAATGTGCAGGAAGGGGCGAGTAGGGGAGCGCGTGGAATGTGCAGGAAGGGATGGGGGGAGCGCGTGGAATGTGCAGGAAGGGGCGAGTGGGGGGGAGCGCGTGGGAATGTGTAGGAAGGGGCGTGGGGGGCGCGCGTGGAATGTGCAGGAAGGGGCGAGTGGGGCCCGGCGCGCTGTGCGCCCTAGGAGCCTGACCACCCCCGCGACCACCTGCGGAGGGGACGCTGTGCACTCTGGCCGGACTCCTCCGGGGCGTGGGAAATGCCAGAGTCTGGAGACTTGAGTCGCTTGGCTCCCCGCGTTTAGCCTCTACCTCACCATTACCAACTGTGTTTACAGATTTCGACCCCAAGTGCGCCCCCACCCCACCTGCTGGGTTGCCTGTGAAGCTTCCCCAGCTCGACCTTGACCTTACTTGGCTCAGCCTTCTCCACCCAGGCCAGGAACTCTGGCTTTCTTTATGCTTTGCCTGAAGCAGAGTTGCCCCACCTCTTCAATCATCCCTGTGGTGCAAGTCACTTGGCCCCACCCACGTGTCCAGGTGCGGTACTTACTATCAGGAAATTACACGGACGATTTTGCAGGTAGCAACACTGGTTGCTAGGAGCTACGGGGAGGAAGAGAGGAAATTGTAAACATAATTCTGCTGTCTTCTGTAATTTTTTTAAGGTAGCCCTTGTAATTTTAGAAAATTAAAAAAAAAAAATTCCCAACCACCATGTAACTTTGTTTACCATAAATACACAATTTTTTAAATTATTATTTTATCTGGAATTCTGGACATAAGGCCCCTTTAAGAACAGATGGCAAAAGTTCAAGTCACTGAGCAATAGTTACCAGAATCAGGTTTGTTTCTCAATTCCGAGAGAAGAATCAAGTGCTCCACACTTGAGATCTCTGGAGGGGAGCTGTTTTGGGGTGGTTCCATGGCAGCCGGAAGAAGATGGGGCAAAGGGGTGTGGAGTGTGGGGGAGCCTCCATGCAGCCAAAGCCCCTCCCTCCCCTTGTCCAGGTCGAGCTGCCTCCTGGGCTTGGAAAGGCCTTCTCCCCTGACAATCACCCAACACACCAGTTGAGCAGCTTCCGGAATGGACACACCCGAGGACTGGCTGCACCAGATTCAACCTCCAGGAAAAACTAGCATCACCCTGCTGGACACGTGTCTGTCTTTGGGCCTTCCCATTGGTCTCTCAAGTTCAGTCTCATTCTCATGGCCATGAAACCCTTGAAGCTGATGGATTTGAACCCATGACCACACACACTCATGCAGGGTTCTGAGTAGATACTGTGCATGTATTTTAATGGGGCGGGGTGGGAGGGGTGGGTTCATGTTTTATTTCAGAATTACTCTACAAAAATTATTCTTGTGGGTCAGTGCAGTGGTCTAGTGTGGTAACCCTCTGCCTCGCCATCAGCTCCCACGTGGGTGCTGGTTCTATTCCCAGCTGTTTCATTTTCAATGCAGCTCCCAGCTTATGGCCTCGGAAAATAATGGAGGATGGCCCAAGTACTTGGACCCCTGCACCCACATGGGAGACCTAAAAGAAGCTCCTGGCTCTTGGTTTCAGACCAGTTCAGCTGTAGCTGACATGACCATTTAGAAAGTGACTCAGCAGAGGGAAGGGATGTGTGTATGTGTGTGTGTGTGTGTGTGTGTGTGTGTGTGTGTGTGTGTCTTCTCTCTGTAACTTTGCCTTTTAATAATGGTCTGCAACCACCATCTATGACAACTTAGCGACTGACCTGAGCCAGGACTGGTTAGGGAAGCAGCCAAACGCTGCAGCCAACCTGTCCCCAGGTGGATCAGATTCTCCAGTGAGACATCTGCCAGCCTTCTGCACGTGGTCACCAGCACTGACACATGGTGACCAGCACTGACTCACATGTGGCTTACTGACGCCAACCCCAGGAACACTCCTGTGCAAGGAGATGAGTCGTCCCCTGCAGCCTGCCCTTCGGTGCGCTCTGCAAACGGCATTTCTGCAACTAACCAGCAGCCAAACTCCTGCCTAAGTGGACTCGCGCTGTGACCTGACAACCTTGTGCCAAAAGCAGCGTGGTGGGGTGGAGGGGAGTCAGGTGCTGTTGCCTGGAAGCAGGGTGAGGCATGGTGACTTCCCTCCCCTCTGTGCTCATTTCAGGAAATGAGCAGTTGTAGAAGAGGGAGAGGGAAAGAATTGGGGGGAAAGGAATTTTTAAAGCAAAAATTCGATAACATCAGATTTGCAAGGGGACCCTGCATATGCGTGGGAGACCTGAAAGAAGTTTCAGACTCTTGGCTTCAGATCAGCTCAGCTCTGGCTGTTGTGGCCATTTGGGGAGTGAGCCAGACGATGGAAGATCTTCCTCTCTGTTTCCATTTTCTGTAAATCTGCCTTTCAAATAAAAAAAAAAAAATTTTTTTTTAAATCTTTTTAGAAAGAGCTCTACAGAAAGACCTTTAAAGCTGATCATTTGTAAAACCCGAGGAGACACAAGTTTGTCGTTTCCATCAGCAAAGCAGGACTGCCCCTTGACAAGCATGGGCAGAGGCACCGTGTGCCAGGCCCTTAGATACCTGATTGCAGAATCCAGCAGGACCAGTCTGTTTCCTTGGTTTCTGGCCATAGCTGGGCTTACCACATCCCCAGCCACAGCCCAGTCACCTGCAAGCCCCATGCCAGCTGCACAAAGGTGGCCCCCTGACTGGCTCTTGCCCCACAACCTTACATCAGAGTGGATGGGGTGACTCTATTCAGCGGCAGGGACCTAGTTCTCATCATGGAGCTCCAGTTTCATCTGCAGGGTCACCTCCCCAGCATCCCACGTGTCCCAGTCACGTGGTCTCGGCCAATGGCTACCCGTGACTTCCTTGGCTGGTGCACTGTCTCCTTCGCCAACTACAGATTTGCTCTTTCTCTCACGGCACTGGCCACATCCCTGGGTTTTGCTCAACTTCGATGTCTACTTTTCCTACCATGGTTATTGCAATCATTTCAAGAGGCTCCAGCAACAACTTCCTATTCTTTTAAGTTCTGGACAAGAGACAAATATAAGAAGTCAGATGGACAGCGCAGATCCATTTTACTGATTTTAAACATTTTGAGTTGGGGTCAGCGCTGTTTGCACAGCAGGCTAAATTTCCACCTTCGGCATTGTCACCCTGTGTGGGCACTGATTCAAGTTCCAGCTGCTTCATTTCTAATCCAGCGCTCTGCTGATAATCTGGGAAAGCAGCAGAGGATGATACAAGGCCTTGGGCCCCCATATCCATTTAGAAGACGTGGATGAGACTCCTGGCTCCTAGCTTTAGATTGTCCCAGCTCTGGCCGTTGCAGCCATTTGGAGAGTGAACCAGCGAGTGGCAGATTCTTTCTGTCTCTTCTCTATAACTCTGCCTTCGAAATAAAAATTTTAAAAACCTTTGAAAAAAATCTGACAGAGAGAGAGAGAAAGAGAGAATCTATAGGCCAAAACAGTAACAAGTGATGAGCTACTGCAGACTGAAGCCAGTGGCCTGGACTCCTATCTGGGTCTCCCTTGTGGGTGGCAGAAAGCCAACTCTTGGGGCTGTTATCCAATATCTTTCCTGCGTGCAGGTGAACAGGAAGCAGAGAAGTTTGGATTCAACCCAGGAACTCATCCATGGATCACTTATAGGACATAAGTATTATGCCAGACATCCACGCCTAAATTTTATAACTGGAAATAGTGATGTGGGAGTAAGTGGCTTGTTGGGTGGCTCACACACTTGTGAATGATTTTCACTCTGGAATTAAACGAGCTGTTCAGCAGATACAGAGCCGTGGCCTGATGCCCAATGCTGTGCCCTGATGATGGTCCAGGGGCTTAGGTTGGGAGTAGGCTGCCAGTACCAAGTCAACATCATCCAGTTCCCAGGGATTATTGTCCATAAACCTCATTTGCTAACTCAACTGGCTAGTTCCAGAAGTGCATACTGAGACAATGAGTCAAGTGCTAAGTTGTTCATTTGGGAGACACACAAACACTAGTAGGAGGGGGAAGTAAGACAGTTACAGAAAAGGAAGCCGAGTAATAGAGGCATGAATATGAGCCAGCCAAATACCATGGGAACAACAGAAACTCCATCTTGACAGAGAAATCTGGCAAACAGTATAGAGTCACATTTAGATGTCCCACTGAATCTTGGTCTTTATCCATTTATTTACTTATATAAAATTTATTTTAATAGAAAGGCAGAATTACAGTCAGAGGGAGAAAGATCTTCCACCTGCAAGTTTACTCCCCAAATGCTTTAGTGGCCAGACTCAATCTGATCTGAAGCCAGTTCCTGGTTCCAGCATAGCCCAGTGACAGACATTTAGAAGGTAGAGCAGATGGAAGCTCTCCCTCTGTTTCTTTCTTTCTACCTCTCAAATAGAATGCAAATTGATTCTTTTTTTAAAAAGATTTATTTATTTATTGGAAAGTCAGATATACATAGAGGAGGAGAGACAGAGAGGAAGATCTTCCATCTGGTGATTCACTCCCCAAGTGACCGCAATGGCCGATGCTATGCTGACCCGAAGCCAGGATCCAGGAACTTCTCCTGGGTCTCCCACATGGGTGCAGGGTCCCAAGACTTTGAGCCATCCTTGACTGCCTTCCCAGGCTACAAGCAGGGAGCTGGATGGGAAGTGGAGCTGCCGGGATTAGAACCAGCACCCAAATGGGATCCTGGCGCGTTCAATGCAAGGACTTAAGCCGCTAGGCCAAGCCA